ATTCTCCTGCCTCAGCCTCCCGAGAAGCTGTGATTACAGGCATGTGCCACCATGCCCGGCTAATTTTTCATATTTTCAGTAGAGATGGGTTTCACCATGTTGGCCAGGCTAGTCTCAAACTCCTGACCTCAAGTAATCCGCCCACCTCGGCCTCCCAAAGTGCTGGGATTACAGGCGTGAGCCATGGCACCCAGCCACATTTATTTCTTAAATTTAAAACATATTCTTGTTAAATCACACAGAGTTTACTTTTTCAGCACTCATCAGTTGTTTCAACTAAATCAGTTTTAAATCTCTATTCTTTCTCTTTTATGTCTTCTCTTCTTTCATGTCTTTTGTCCATTTTCCCATTGAACTGACTTTCTAATTGCCTATCTTTTTTTAAAATTCTGTATTTTAATAGTTAATTCCTGGTAACAGAAATGCAACTGATTTTTGTATACTGACCTTAGTATACAGAAAATTTGCTGAACTCTTAATAATAATTTGTGTACATAGAAAACCCAAAAACAGGCTGGGCACAGTGGCTTATACCTGTAATCCTAGCACTTTGGGAGGCCAAGGCAGGAGGATCACTTGAGTCCAGGAGTTCAAGAACAGTCTGGGCAACACAGTGAGATCCTGTCTCTACAAAAAATTTAAACATTAGGTGAGTGTGGTAGCATGCACCTGAAGTCCCAGCTACTCAGGAGGCTGAGTGGGAGGATCACTTGAACCCAGGATCCTGAGCTCAAGATCATGAGGTCGAGGTTACAGAATCCTAATTATATGCTATGTTTTTTCATATACATACATACCTATGGTAAAGTTTAATTTATAACTTATAACTTAATTTATAACTTAGGCATCGTAAGACATTAACAATAACTAATAATAGAATAGTTATAACAATATATAATAATAAAAGTTTTGTGAATGTGGTTTTTTGTTTTTTGTTTTTGAGACAAGGTCTCAACTCTGTCGCTCAGGCTAGAGTACAATGGCGCGACCATGGTTCACTGCAGCCTCAATCTCCTAGGCTCAAGTGATACTCCTACCTCAATCCCCCAAGTAGCTAGGACTACAGGGACGTACCATCACACTTAGCTAATTTAAAAAAATTTTTTTTTTTTTTTTTAGAGATGAGGTCTAATTTTGTTGCTCAGGCTAGTCTCAAATATCTGG